AACTTGGCGAGATCTCATCTCTACAATAAATCAAAAAAATTAGCCAGGCGTGGTAGCGCACGCCCGTAGTTCCGGCTGCTTGGAAGGCTGAGGGGGAAGGATCACCGGAGCCCAGCAGGTCGAGGCTGCGGTGGCCGGGAGCGTCCACTGCACTCCAGTCTGTGTGACAGATGAGACTCCAACTCAAAAAAAAAAAAAAAGGACAGTCTAGAAGGGACTTCACTAACCCTTTCCTTTCAATGGAGGTAAAAGGGCCAAGGCCTGTTGAGGTCTCCCAGGGGGCAATAGACAGGAAGGAATTGAGTTCAAATCTCCCCAGCCCCAGACCAGGATTCACCCCCAGGGCTGGGTGCTAGATTTTCAGTCATGGCCCAAGTCTGAGGACAGGGGCTGGGAATCCTATCTGAAGTTTTGCTGTCAGTCAGGTCCCCGGGGTCAGGAGAAGGCAGCAGACATATCAGAGAACTGCCCTCAGAGTAGCGGGAGGTGACACTCCACTCATGTCTCAGGTCCTGGTGAAAATGGGTAGGCAAGCAAAGTGACGCTTGGTGGCCCCAGCACTGGCATCAGGCCCTGCCAGTAGGGCCTGCCTGGAAGTCAGCCTGGAGCTGGGGACAGGAGGAGATGGGGTGGGAGACCAGGGTTGCAGATGCCCAGGATGACCGTCTGCCATCTCTTCCAGATGCCACGCTGCAGCCTGGCAACCTCCAGCCAGGCCAGCGAGGCTCTAGCCTTGTTACGAGGGCAGGGCTGGGGCCAGATAGTTCTGCAGCCTCAGTGTGAGGTGGGGCTGCTCTAACTGGAACTCGCCTCAGCTCTGGGGCCTCAGGGATCACCACCTCCTTGTTTCCAACTCTCCTGGGAGTAATAAGTACCCTCACCCTGGGGTGACATCTCTTGACCACAGCGCTATTCTCTGCTCAACACGAATAGATCGCCTGAGCCCAGGAGGTTGAGGCTGTGTGAGCCATGATCATGCCACTGCACTCCAGCCTGGGCAAGAGAGTGAGACCCCAACTCAAAACAAAACAAGCAAAAAAAAAAAACCATGAACAGAACTGCTTCCTCGAGTCTGTGCTCCAGGAAGCCGGGACTAATCAAGTTGAACTCCCCCCCCATCCCCTTCCAACACTTGCAGGTAAGTTGAGGCCAGAGGGAAGCAGGGTCTTTACTAGGGTTTAAAGTGAAAGGGAGGCAGAATATCCCGTGTGCTGGCCCTCTGGGGGCGCTCGGTTCTGGGGTGCGCAGCTCGAGGCCGCTTACTCACCGTGGCTGTCTGCTGCTGCGTGGCCTGGGCTGCAAACCGGGCCACGTGGTTGACGATGGGGGAGAAGTTGGTGGGACCGTAGAAGCGGATGTGGGGCAGGCAAGCCGAGTACGCCTGGGCAATGCCGTCCACGCCTGCTTGAGAGGACAGTCTGGGTCAGCCCAGGGTCTCGACCCTGTGCCCACTCCCAGCCCACTGCCAACAAACCATCTACGAGGGGGGAACCCAAAAAACCCAGAATGTATTTATAAAAAATTGTGTATTTATTCTTACATGTTTAAGCTTCCGCCACCTTCAAAGTACTCTCCGTTTGATGCACTACACCTATCGAGACGCTTTGCCGCTGCTCAAAACAGTTTTTGAACTCAACCGTTTTGATGCTTTTAGTGCTGCAGCTGTTTTTTGTTTTACCTCCTCCACATCAGCAAAACATATTCCTTTGAGGATTTTTTTCATTCGGGGGGGGGTGGAAAGGTCATTCAGAGTAAGATGAGGCAAATAGGGAGGGTGGGGCACAGGGGTCCTGCTGTTTTTGGTCAAAAACTGCTGAACACTCAGCCCAGTGTGGGCAGGTGCGTTGTCATGGTGGAAGAATCCGTCACCTGTTTGCCACAACTTTCTTGCAAACTCAGCCTCTCACAACACTAGTTGGTACACTGATGCCGATGGGTTCCTAGAATACTTACCTAGTGGGGAAAGCCTGTACTGTAAGGGAACTACCCTCCAAAAGATATTTGAGTTTTGGGGGGTATCCTGTTGTATTTCATGCTTACCCAAAATGTCCCTGCTGTGGTCAGTGTGGGCCCCCTGAGGCTGGACACCCAGGGAGGGCAGCCAGGGTGGTGTAAGGCCAAGAGCCCTGAATGTAGAGTCAGACAGACCTGAGTCTAAACCTGCCCCTCTCAGCTGTGGGACCTGTCCGAGCCTACTTCCTTGTCTGTCAACAGGACTGATCATCTACACTCTCGGGCAGCCGGCAGGAGGGGCATCCAGGCATGCTTAGAGACCACAGGAAACCACTTGGAGGTCCGTTCTGGACACATCAAGGCTTCTGGTCGGGGTTGGGGGGCCAAGGTGCTAGCATAACCCTTGTACACAGTAGGTGCTCTGTAAATAGCTGCCACTATGAGCCTATGAATATTCCACTGTCCTGTGGTCTTGCCCAGAAGGCCTCTGGCCAGGGATTAAGCCAGCCAACATGACTTGGACATAATTCTCTGGAGACCTTTCTCAAATCAGACAGACCCTGGCAAGGGTATAAGGCCCCATTTCTGGCCAACAGATGTCCCTGGTTTCCAAGTCACAACATCATCTGACAAATAGGTGACTTGATGGATTTCCCTTCTGAGTATAAGTGGCCCAGCTTTGGGGATCCTCAGGGAAGGTAGATGTTAAACTCAAGACAAATCTTAGGCTGAAAGGTCTCATGATGGTAGTAACCACCCTCTTCTATGCCCACATGGACACCCCCCTCTCCTCCTCTAATAGTTTCTTTTTTATTTTTTTGAGTCTGGTCACACTCTGTCATCTAGGCTGGAGTGCAGAGGCATGATCACAGCTCACTGCAGTCTCGACCTCCTGGGCTCAGGCGATCCTTCTGCCTCAGCCTCCCAAGTGGCTGGGACTACAGGCACATACTACTATATCTAGCTAATTTTTATTTTATTTTAATTTTATTTTATTTTGGCACATGCTACATACTACAGGCATGTACTACTACATCTAGCTATTTTTATTTTATTAGCGAAATATGAGGTCTCGTTATGTTGCCCAGGCTGGTCTTAAACTCCCGGGCTCAAGCAATCTCTCCTCCTCAACCTCCCAAAGTGCTGGGATTACAGGTGTGAGCCACTGTGCCCTGCTTTCTAATATATTCTTAACTGTCCTGAGGAGGCTCAGACATCCTCTCAGGCCTGAGGGCTGGGGTGAGCATAGACACTACACTCATTCCCCAGCCCCTGCTTCCCCAGGGCCGATCCCCAGCAAAGACAGCTGAGAAGAAGATGAAAGCAGATGTGTAATGGTTCACATGGGGCTTCCCGTCAACAGCTTCCTGTAATTCCCACCTGACCACCCAGGGAAGCAAGCAAAGCAGGTATCATACTTTCCTGGGCAGGTAAGAAAGCAAAAGCCCAGAGAGGTGCAATGACCTCTCCAGGGCTCCACAGCTATGAAAGGGCAGCAGCTGGCCTTGAATCCAGGAAAGTCTGACCCCAGACTCCAGCTCTTCCCATGTCTCATTCTAAGCAAGCGTGGGTGGGAAGGGATAGAAGAAAGGGATGGAAACCTGTCCTTTGTCCTCCCTCTGCCCAGGGAGGCAGCCAGGCCTGGTGTAAACCCAGGGTGCAGGTGGGTGGGTCTGATACTCACCTGAGCAGAAGGGGTTGGTGGGGTTGAAGTTGATGGCAAACTCATGGGAGACCTGAAATGCAGAGAAAGGCTGAGCTGACAGCCTCCTGCCCCACTGGGCCCAGGCCCCACTCACAGCCCAGCTGAGGCTCCCTCTGAGGGCACATTGGGCCTGGAAGGCTCTTCCCTACCTTCATAGTAAGCAAAGGTGCTCAGAGGGTCCCACCATGTGCCCGGCCCCGCTCTGTGTAGAGGCTGCTGATACATGATGTAGTTTGGATATGTGTCCCCCCCGAATCTCATGCCAAAACGTGACCCCCGCTGTTAAAGGTGAGGCCTAGTGGGAGATGTTTGGGTCATGGGGACGAATCCCTCATGAATCCTCCACCCCGCCCACCTTGGGGGTGATGAGCGAATTCTCGCCCTCTTAGTTCACAGGAAAGCTGGTTGTTCAGAGAGCCTGGCACCACCCCCGTCTTGCTCCTGCTCTCGCCATGAGACTCGCCGGCCCCTGGCCTCCTCCCATGAGTCAAAGCTTCTTGGCCTCACCGGAAGCTGGGCAGATGCTGGTCCCATGCAGAGCCATGAGACAAATAAACCTCTCTTCTTTCTAAACTACCCCGTCACAGGTATTCCTTGACAGCAGCACAGATGGACTGAGGCAATGTCTCCACATCTGCTGTCACCTCCATCACAGGGTCTGACCCACAGAGAGGCCAAGCCACCCTCACTTCACAATGGAGGACACTGAGACCCTTGCATATCACCCCATGCTCTTCTGGGATCAGGCTACCTACGCCCCCTTTCCCCACTAAGCGGCCCCAAGTGAGCTCAGGTAGCACTCAGCATGCCCCTTCACTGCTGCTTGCACTGTGCATGGGGTCTGCAATCACAGTGCCAGTGTCTTAGGCCTTGAAGGCTCTTCCTTACCTTCACAGTAAGCAAAAGTGCTTGGAAGGGCCCACCCTGTACCAGCTAACTGAGCCGGGATGAGCTGATAGCCTGCTCAGAGCAGAACTGGGAGGTCAGGGGTCGGGAGGGGGACAGATGGAGCTGCCACCGTCCTCCAGGGACCTGTGCTGCCTCTGACTGCAGGTCCAGTCCTGGGACCATCAGAGGTGGATCTGCACACTCCAGGACACCGCAGACCCACCACAGTCCAACTGCTGCTGTTCTCCTGGCTTCAGGAATACACAGAGAGACCCATAACCGGCCCCATTGGGGCTGCGGGTGACACTGCAGTAGCTGCAGAAAGCAGGGCCTCAGGAGAGGCTGGAGAGCTTAGATGGGAACATCCCCACTCTCCCTCCCTCCCCTACTGCCTCACAGTCCCAAAACCCTCTCAGCCCCCTTCGCATCGCATGCCACACCCACACGCAGCACTTTGCAAGTATCCCCTCAATCCTTCCCCACAATGCCCCCATGGGGGGGCCGCTGTCACCCCATTTTGCAGATGACAAAACCGAGACACAGAATGGACTGGAATTTTCCCACATTTATGGAGGGGCAGGGTTGGGACTAGAACCGAGGCCAGGCTGCCTCCAGAGTTCACGTGGCATGAGCACACACACCTCCAAAGGTGCTCCCCGCCCCAAGGATTTTCAATCAGAAGGTGAAGAGATGCCCAGGGTGGGGGGACCGCAGTCCTCAGCTGTGAAGGGGAGAGCTTTAGTCTGGGCACAAACAGTCCCAGACAGACCCTTTAGCTCCAAGATACTACAAGAGCAACTTGCTGGAAGGCCCCCTTAAATCCAGCACCCCCATTTTATAAATAAACAAACTGAAGCCCAGAGAGGGGAGGCCAGGTGCCAAAGGCAGCAGCAGAGCAGGCCTGAGACCCGGCACCCTCAAGCCTCGCTGGGGCTGGGTCGCTGGCCTTACTCCGGGGCCAAGAGGGGAGAGACTCAGCTGTGACGTTCACCCCACGCTGCCCTGTGCCTGGCAGCTGGCGGAGGGGAGGGGACTGGGAAGACACCTCCTGTTTCAGGGAATGGGGTTTCTGTTCTTTGCTGTCAGCCTTAGGTGACACACAGGGAACCGGTCCCCCCATATTCCTCTCGGCCCCCATCCCCTGCCCAGGGGCCCTCTTTACCCTGCCCCCAATCTGGGCTCCAGGTGTGGGGGCTGGAGGTCCTTGTTGCCATGGAGACTTCATGAGCCTCTACAGAGATTAGGAAGGGGCTTGTATGGAGGGGCTGAGAGAGAAAATGGTTGCCAGGGAAACAGGCCTCCCTTGGGCCAACGACTTCCCGAAAAATCAGATTTTAGGAGATTTTAGAGACCATAGTGAAAAGGTCCCTTGGATAGGGATGGACTGATATTCCAATTTCTTGGCCCCAACCCCCTCATCCCCTCTTTCCCCCTCTTGGTCAGGAGAAGGACTTGGTCTGGTGGTCAAGCGGGTGGGGCTTTGGAAGGTCATCCATCCACCCCAGAGGCCCGGGAGGTTGCTTTCTCCAGCAGCTCAGTTTCACAGGTGAGAAAACCGAGGTTCAGAGAGGGACAGGGCGTGCCCAGGTCACACAGCAGAGCCAGGACCAGACCGGAGGACAAGTGTCCCTGCTGGCTACAGCCCTGCCCCCTCCCATGCGTGAGGCCCTGGTGTGCCTGAGAAACGTCAGTAAACAGGACAAGTTTCCTGGAGACCACACCAAGCCGATTAGGGGCCCCTGGGGACCGGCCGCCTGTCAGAGGTTTTTGTCCTGGGACTCCCTGCTGCCTTCCCACAAGGTGGCTTGCTCACCCCACCTGGCCCTGCGCAGACTCAGTTCCTTGTCAATTGGCAGAAGCAGGCAATGGAGAGGGGCCTGGAAGGAGCGGAGGGGATCGGGGTGACTGCACGCGAGCTTCAGCTCCCCACTTGCAGAGGGCGCTCTTCCCCACCCCAGACCTTTGCACAGGCTGTTCCTTCTGCCAGACTCCCTGACTCTTCATCTGAGTAACCAGCTCATCTTGAAGGAGCCAGGCTCTCTCCTCAGAGAAACACATCCTGAGCCCCTCAGCTGCTCTCTGGGGTGGGTTCCTCTCTGGACTCACCTGGGCCAGTCCCAGCCAAGAAACTGAGGTCCTGGAGGCAGGTGGCCAGGTTGCACGCACCTTCGGGCTCCTTCTAGTTCCCCACTCTCAGGGTACTAACCTGTTCGCTCAGGCCACTGGGAGGGTCCCAAATTCACCGTCAACAGACAAGTACTGCACACCTACTGCAGGCCAGATGCTGGGATACAGGGGAGGGAGCTTAGTGCCTTGCCCAAGAGATCACAAGTAAATCACAAAGTTTGGTGAGGACAGTGAGCATGGCCTCCTGGAGGCCAGGAGCTCTAAGCTGGAAGCCAGTGGGGGAAGCCAGTGAAAGGGATCAACAAGCTGGGCAAAGGCCCCATGCAAGGGCCCTGAGGTTGGAGTTAAGGAAAGAAGGCTCGCAAAGCAGGAGCCGGGGCGTTAGCATGAAAGAAAGAGGGAGGGGCTGGGATGAACCAGGCCTGGGGGCTCCCAAGGCAGCCGCAGGTGGGACAGCACATCTGCCCTTTCCCAGCCTGGTTCCAGCATCCTCCTGGCACCATCGGGCACACTGGCCTGGCCAAGCCCCCGCTGTCCCAGAGTTGCCGGGTGACATTTCCAAGGAGGCTTTCGCTGAAGAAAACATCTCATTCAGCTGAGTTCTTTGAAAGCTCACTGGTGTCCTAGCAACGGGCTCGTGCTGGGCTTGGCCGCACTGGCTGGCCCTGCCCCCACTACCCGCCCCTCCGACGGTACCACTGTATCTGCGCAGCTCCGGTATCCTAGGATCCTGCCTCACACCATTCGGGGCCAGGACACCCACCCTACAGCCCTGGCCTCAGAGCCTCCCCCTGAAACGCTGGGTGGAAATCGTCCTCCCCGGAGAGGATGGGAGGCAAAAGCTCACTCTGGAAACAGCAGGGCAGACAAGAGGAGGACTGGCGGAGACAGACGTGCAGATTGAGGACCCTCGATGCCTACACCCCACAGGCTTCTCCCGGGAGGTCACAAATCCTGAGAATAAACTTTAAGAGTCCATCTGCCCAGTGGGCACACAGGCCCCCTGGAGTGCACATGGCCTTGGGCAAGTCACTTTGAGGCTCCCAGCCTCAGTGTTCTCACCTTCCCTCGTCAGTATCTCCCTCTCTGGCCTCAAACCCCCCTCTCCTTGTGTGCTCACTGCTGTGAGGGACCCCCCACCTCCTGCCCCAGGCCTACCCACAACAAACCTCGGATCCCCTCTCTTTCGGCCTCCCCTCTCCCCCGCTCCGGGCCCCTCCCCAGCACCTTTAGGCGGGCCTGACCTCCCCTCCCCTCCCTCACAGCCCGCCACCTTGTAGGCTGGTTGTCTCCACTCCCTCTTCTGCGCCGTGGAGGCGGCCCACCTCGTCTCGGCCATAAGGGCCCTCACTGTGGTCAGTGAAGTGGACGGACCCTCCTTGGGCTCACCTTACCTGGCCTACATGCAGCCTTTCACCTCGCTGGCCACGCCCTCCTCACTGAGGCCGGGTTCCTCAGTATCCTCGATAAAATGGGCTAATAACAGGGCCTACCTCATTGGCTTTTGGTAAGAATTAGATGAAACAGGTAAAGCAGGTGGAGCAGTTTCTAGAACATTCTAAGGGCCCAATAAATGCTAGTTATCGGTTTGCTTTCCGTGGGCTTCCGCGCTGCCCTCCTCTGTGAATCCCTCCCCATTCTGGCCCCTCGGCCGAGTCTCTGCTTCTCCTGCCCGGCTCCCACAGGTTGCTGCTTCTTACTCCACGTACCCCCCACCCCCGCCCCGCGGGATTCCACCCATGGCATCGCCGGTCCTGGCCCCGATGGCCAGCCGCCATCCCTCTCCCCAGAGCTCACGACCCATTGACCCATCATCCTCCTTTCTCCTAGGCCTCCCCCTCACTGCCTCGCCTGCCAGGCTCACCCCCAACTCAACGCCCAGCTGGAAATACAGGTGTCCTCCTTGGCTCACACCCACTTGGTTGCCCAGCCAGTCCTGTCCACTGCCCGAGTCCCCCTGCCATCACCCCTCCTCTCCACCCTCCACTGCAGCCAGCCCCCATTCAGCAGTCAAAGCTGGTCTTCAAAAGCACCCATCAGATTCCGACACCCCCCGCAGCCCGCAGTGTACCTCTCTCTCCTCCCTGCCCGTTTCCAAAGGAGGGTCCAGCCAGCATGCCTGTCAGTCCCTCTGGCTCGCCCTGCTCCCTCCACTGTCCTGGGCTGAACGCTCTCCTTGCCTCATCCCCACCCCCAGTCACTCTGCTAACTCTGCTTCCTCCCTGCTTGGCTTAGACCTTGCACCCTTCAGAAAGCCTTCCCAGATGGCCCCAGGCTGGATTGGGTTCCCCCAGGCCTATGCTGCCTCTATCTCAGCACCAGTGACACTGCCTGTGTTCAGGGTTGCCAGAGAGAATACAGGACACCCAGCTAAGTCTGAATTCCAGACACGTAAGAGAGAATTTTTTAGCATATCGATGCCCCGTGTAATATTCAGGATATACTTAGACTTTTAAAATAGTTGTTTATCTGAAATTCAAACCTTCTTATGTTTTGGAGTTGGGGGTCTCACTCCATCATCCAGGCAGGAGTGCAGTGGCACAATCACAGCTCACTGCAGCCTCAACCTCCTAAGCTCAAGGGATCCTCCTGCCTCAGCCTTCCAAGAAGCTGGGACAACAGGCATGTGCCACCACATCCGGCTAATTTTTTAACTTTTTTTTTTTTTTTTTGCAGAGATAAGGTCTTGCTATGTTGCCTACCTGGTCTTGAGTTCCTGGGCTGAAGCAATCCTCCTACCTCCCACATCAGCCTTCCAAACTGCTGGGATAAGAGGAGTGAGCCACCACACCTGACCTGAAATTAAAACTTAACTAGGTGTCCTTATTTTTATCTGCTGAATCTGCAACTCTCCCTGTCTTCTCTCTTGACATGGGCTTCAGGGAGCAGAGGCCATAACTGTGCTGCCCTTCTGACGGCCTCAGTGCTGGTGAGGAGCTCAGGTTTGAGAAATGAGTATAGTCTGGAGGGGCTCGGAGAAACAGGGAAACTGGGGCCCCAGCCCAGGACCTCTCCAGAATAGATCCCTGAGAGGCCACAAATCCCACCTCCACCGGGAGGACACCAAGGCCAGCTTCACTCACCTTCCAGTCTGGGGGTAACTGCGCCCCAAATCCCAGAGCCGGAAACATCTTATCACTAATCAGAGAGGAGAGAAAACCACCATGAGACACCTGACAGAGGCCTCCACCTGCCCACGCTCGGCCCTGCCAACCCCCTGCCCAGGGGCGGGCCCACTCTGCCCTGTACACCTCCGAGGACAGAAGGAAGGAGCTCGTACTTCTAACACAAGCTTTGCTAGAATGATCTATCTATGAGCCCCAGCCCACCCCTGGGTATCTGGTGAACGTGTGGCCTGACCACATCTATCCCCGTGGCAGACATTGCTGATTCATACCACCACTTCTAACCAATAGGTCTGGGTGCAGTTTCCAGATCCTTCTCAAACTGAGACCTTGGACAGCCAGTAAACCAAGGCCATGATGGAAGTGGAATGTACCAGCTGTCTCTTGAGTTCCTGTTTATAGCTAGGGAAAACTCTCCCAAGACGAGAATCCTGATTTGGCATTCAAGGCCCTTCATCATCCAGCCTCAGCGTCTGGTCTCATCTCTTTCCTCCTGTTCTCCCTCATACCTCATGCCCCCAGCCCTGGCCACTGGCCACCTGCTGTTCCCCAAATACACAGGGTACCTTCATAGCCAACGTCAATTCTGTTGTGCCCCCACAGAAATACCTCTCCCTAATCTGTTTCCCCTGGAAAACTCTTACTCATCCTCTAAGGCCCTATCAAAATGGCCCCTTCTCTGTGTAGATTTCCCTTATACCTTATGCCTCTCTCTTTTGTGCTCCCATAGCTCCTGCCCCAGGAGTAAACTGGTCTCTTAGAAGTCTAATGATTTCTTCCCTATCTTCCTCTTCAAGTGAGAACACCCGAGGGCAGGGATCATGTTCCCGTGTTCATTCATTCCACATATATTCATTGAGACTCACTCTGGCTGCCATGCAGAGAACAAACAGTTGGGACCAGGGCAAAAGCAGGGGGACCAGTGAGGAGACTGATGAAATGCTCTGGGCAGGACATAACAGTGGCTCACACCAGGCATCCAGAGCTCACTGGGACCTTGCTAAGTCGGAATGTCCCTTAGACAGCTCAGTGGTGGTGCTGAGTGGGCAGCTGAACCCCTGGGTCCCTGGAGCAGCAACAAGGATCTCCCACCCAACTGTGCAGTTGAAGACTTCTGGCTCCTTTGCTCTGCACACTGTACCTCTTAATGCTGCCTGGGATCACAGACACCGCCAGGCCCTGAGCCCACGGGCGTCAGATGCGGGTCCTTGGGCTCCTTGCCCCAGGAGGCCAAGTCCACATGGGATTCCCAGCCTGTTCTTGTTCCTGCCAGATCTCCAGTGCCTGTTCCTTCCTTCCCAGTTCTCAATGTGTTGGCCTCCAGGTCCTTCCACCCTCTGCCCTGGAATTCCAGGCCAGCGCCATCTGGGATGAGGATGCTGCACCAGGGGGTTGCCACTCCTGCCGTACCTGCCACACGACTTTCCCTCACTGACCTTCCATCAAACCATGGGCTGAGGACCATGAGGGTCCATGCACACTGGTTGCCCCTCAGAAGTTCCCAGTGGGAAGGAGACGCCAAGCCCAGGAACTAGAACATCTGGGGTCCAATCCCCCTGATCTGTGAGACTTGGGACAAATTCTCCACTCCCACCCCAGCCTGGCTCTGAAAAGAGAGGTTACAGCAATAACAAGCTGCATCTTCCATCCTGTCTCGCTTTCTTTACTGGCTAATTGGTATACAGTATAGAGAAGGTTTGAATCTGGGTTCGGTGGTTGAAAGTACAGAAATCGATTAGCAATGTCTGCCACAGATATAGGAAAGGGCAATGCTGACATGTATATCATGTGCTGGCCATTCCTAGGTTTGATGATCTTGGGGTCCTCTCTAGCTTTGACATGCTAAGTTTCCCAGGTTGAATGGAACCCAGCTGACCTTCAGAGCCCCTTCTCAAGCTTACCTGTCATAGTCCTGAATGATCTGCCCGACTGCCCAGATGGCTGACAGGTACTCGTTGGTGCCCATGGGGTTGATATAGTGCAAAGAGGAAGGGTCAAGAGGATTCCCGTTGGAGGCTGTGAAATCGATTCCAACCTGCAGAGTGAGGCGAAAGGTAACCAGTGAGGCCAGAGACCCCAGCTCTCTGTCCACGCCCAGGGAATAGGAGAGGCAAATGGGCCACAGGAGGCTCACTCACCTCCCAGCCCTCTTCCAAGTAAGATGGTCTGAAACCTAGCAACTGACTGATTGCATCACTCCTCTGCTCTAATGCCATCTGTGACTCCCTACTCCCCAAGCACAAAGTCCATTGCCCAGATGTGACACAAGTTTAACTTGTAGCCCAGGTTCCTTTCTCTCCTTACTCTCCCTACCCACACATCCATCTGTTCCCATTTCCAGGCATTTGTTCACGAGGTTCCCTCTGCTTGAAGAACCAGGCCAGCTTTTCTCCCTATCTAATTCTCCTCCATTTCCCAGGCCCAACTCAGATGCCGCTGCCCCCTGAGAACTTGCCAGACACCTCGCCCCCAACCCAAGCCATCATCCATCATCCCTCAGACCACCCAGAGGCAGTGCCTGTCTCCCCAGTCAGCAAGGGGCTCACTGTGGGGCAGGGACATGCTCTCAAGGAGCCAACCCAGGACTGGGAACAGCATACAAGACAGGAGCTCAGCAGGAACTGGGGGCTGCCGGGTGGGCAGGGATAGTGGAGGGAGTCCCCTCCCAGTCCCTAGTTAGTCCAGAGCAGGGGGCAAGAATGGCGCCTGCTCAGCAGGAGGAGGAGCTGGAGGAGAGAGAACCCCCTTGGAACTCAGTCACTGTGTGGTGGGAGGCCAGGGGCCACCTGTCCAATCCTCATTCTACTGGGGTATCTCAGTCCTTGAGGGGTCCCTTCAAGGGCACCAAGAGGTGCTCGGGGCACATTTGCTGGATGAACAAACCCATGGAGGAACAGGAGCACCCAGCGCTCTGCAGGGCAGGGGTGGCAGTGACCAGTGGGGTTAGAGGCAGCAAGGCCAGTCCCAACCCCATGGAGTCCTGCGATGCCATTCCAGCCCCACAGGGACCTAGAGGAGGTGAAGGGGGTGGTGAGGCAACACGGAGAGGTGGGCAGAGCTTGGCGCCCAGAGGTTTCCCCAGAGAGAGCAGCCAAGGCTGGAAATGAGCAGCAGAGTCTGCAGGGAGAAGACCCCAGGCGGTGGGCAGGGTGGTGGCTCGCCCTCCCAGGAGCCACTGTCGAGCCCCTGCTGGTGCCAAGTACTGTGTGATGTGCTGAGGCTGGAATGGAAGCAAATACACAAAGTGCTCAGTGCCTGGGGCACACGGGGTGGAGGAGCGAGCCGTGCAGAAGGATTTCTGTGAGAGGCAAGTGTCCGAAGGCGAGAACAGAGGGGGACGAGAGGAAGGGGAGGCAGCAAGGAGGAATGTTTCAGGCAGAGGGAACAGCAAACACAGAGGGAACGACCCATGCAAAACCCCAATATGGAGCGGAGCTTGGTGTGTCAGGCCAAGAAAGGAACAGCGTGTCAGAGCCGAGTCAGCAGGGAGGAGACAGCAGACAGGCAGGCCGGGGTCGGATCACAGAAGGCCTTGGGCCAGTGCGGAGGACTCTGGCTTCTCCTCCCCTGGATGGGGTGCAGCTGCAGACTGGGAGCTGGGCAGCTATGCCCTGGCCTGTAGCTCAGCCCAACCCAGGCCCACCCAGCAGGACCAAACCACCAGTGCCCTCTAAGCTGGGCCCCAAGGAAGTCCTCCCTGAAGTTTATCCTGAGTGCTTCCTGCTGCAGTTGTGGCCAAGCCCTGAGGGAGGACCCTCATTGGGGTGGGGACAACGGGGGCAGCGGGAAGGGCCTTACGGTGAACATGAGCTGGCAGCCTCCCAGGATGTAGTCCAGGAAGGAATAGTCGCGGTTTATCTGGAAGGAAGCGGATGAGTCAGTGGGTGCGCTTGACCCGGTCACACTTAACACGAATGCCCCTGGAGGAGTTGTTTGCTCTCTGTCTTGAGGCTTCGGGAGGGACAGGGTGGCCAAAAGGCAGATGGGCCTGACCTGATAACAACAGAACCCAAATCTTTCCACAGCAAAGCCATTGGAGCGACAGGGACAGATACACACACACACACACACACACACACACTCTCTCTCTCTCTCTCTCTTTCTCACGTGCACATGGCGGTTCCAGGCTGAGTCCCAGGCCCAGCGTCAATCACCTGGCAGAGAACAACTCAGTGTGTTGCTGTTGGGTCCCTAACTCTCCCAGGCCTCACCAGCCTGCCTACTTAACAAGGAGAAAGAGCAGGCCTGCGCTCACAACCTCCCTCGCTACACTAGCTGGCCACTAAAGTGCGTGCTTATTTTGATGGTTTCCTTCTGGCCAAGACGCCTGGCCTTTCTGTTTTGGTGGGTTACAGGGATTCCCTTCAAAATAAAGGTATTTACGTTTAAAAAAAATAAACAGCAGTGGGTGGGGGGAACACTGAGGAGAAAGAACAAGCAAGGCAGCTGCCATAATGGTGGCAAAGGGTGAATGATGGTGGGTTTAGAATCAGGACCATGCATTGTGATAGTCCCCTTCACAGGGCACTTCTCTGTTGCAACCACCCTGAACGCTCATACGGACTGAGCCTGACAGCTGGTCTCCACATGAGGAAACGGACGCCTGGGGTCGGGCCCACCAGCTGGGAGAGGGCAGTGCTAGGACTCCTCGAGTTCCCGAGTCTGGGACTCGGCATTCCCGCCCAGGCTGCCTTCCTCAAGTCCCGCCTGATCCAGCAGCTCCCGAGCCACCAGATCCCCTGGCCTGTGACACAGCCTGGCCATGGGAACCATAGTCACCTGAGCGCTCACAGATGCCAAAGGGGCACGGGTGTCCTTGCCCGATGTTCTCTACCTCTGGAGTGCCCAGCATGGGCGACAGTGCATCCTACCCCACCCTCCAACTAGGAGAGGCCTTGGGAGGCCAGCTCACGCCCTCCTCAGCCTCCACACAGGCATGGGATATGAGACCGACCCATAACATGCTCTACCTTGTTGTTTTTTTTTGAGTTGGAGTCTCACTCTGTCACCCGGACTGGAGTGCAGTGGCCGCTCCCGGCCACCACAGCCTCGACCGGCTGCGCTCTGGCGATCTTTCCGCCTTGGCCTTCCAAGTAGCTGGAACTACAGGCGCGTGTGACCATGCCTGGCTAGTTTTTTGATTTATTGTAGAGACGAGGTCTCACCAAGTTGCCCGGACAGGTCTCGAACCCGCGGGCTCAGGCAATCCTCTCACCTCGGCCTCCCAAAGTGCTGGGATTACAGACTGAGCCACTGAACCCGGCCTCTACTTTGTTAACATGCCCATTCTGCAGATGAGGAGACCGAAGCTCAGCAAGGTTAAGCTCGGGACATCACAGAGCCAGGACATGGCAGAGCCGAGATTTGAACCCAGGCCTCCCTGGCTCCAGACTCAATGCTCTGTCCATCCCTTCTGCACTGGTGCTACTGTGTGGCCCCAGACCTGCCCCTGGCTCGTGCTCACTCCGCTGACTCACCTCGCAGGAACGCAGGATGATGACACCTGAGTTTTTATAGTTCTTCTTCTTCCTCTGCTTCTTGGGGTTGATGCACTCGAACTCCAGCTGAGCGGCCCCAAAGAAGGAAGAGAAGCTCAGCCTGGGGCCTCCCTGGGGGCAGATCCTCCCCTTGGCACTAGAATCCCCCCACGGCCTTGACAAGGGGCCAGCACACCTCCTCCAGGGGGCCTTCCTGGATATTCACACGGGAAATGGTAGCATGATCAGCACTGGCACCTCGCCAGACAAACCCATCCACAGCACATCCAGTGGGGGTCCAGGGGCTCGGGGGGACCGTAGCGACAGCTCCTGACTATTCACCATGTGCCAGGTGCTTTACCCGTGTCATCTCATTTAATCCCACCCTGGTCCTCTACCCTCATAGACAGGAGGGGAAAGAGAGTGTGACAGAGACGGACCATCTCGCTCAAGGTCATACAGCCGGAATAGGTGGGATCTGACCCCAGGCTGCCCGACTCAAGACCCCGTGCCCCTTCCCAGCCCCTGCTGAGGTCTTGGGGTCACAGCACACACGCCCATCTCACCGGGACGCCGCTGCGAGCCTCACACATCTGTGACGTGGAGGTCTGGAACTCGCCGATGAAGTCGTGGCCCCCGTCGTTGTCATAGTCATAGCACATGACCTGGGGAGGGTCCAGTGCGGTCACCTCAGAACCATCCCAAGAAAAGCTCTCCAGCTCCTCTCAGCTCCCTGAGCAAACCCCATCTCTTCTGTTTGGCGGGTGCCTCCCCCCCCCCACATCTGCCTAGCTGGCCTCGGTAGTTTCTGAACTGCCTCCTTCAGGAAGCCTTCCATGATTGCTGGGAACAGGAGAAAATGTGCCTGCCTCAGTAACAGAGGCTGTACCCTCCAGAGCAGGAAGCTCAGCTCCTTACACACTTGACAGTTGGCTCTTCCTGTCTTGGGCTGTGACCCACCCAGGTCAGGGGTCATGGCCTGGGACTTTCTCTAGACTGTAATTTTTTCTGGCTTTATATGCTCTCTAACTTAGCTGCTGTGACACTCATGAAGAAGACAAGCATCATTGATGTTCTATTGACGGGTGAAATGAGGCTCTGAGAGGGGAGCATTCGCCCAAACTCTCACAGCAGCGGCAGCACCAGACCCAAGACTAGACCCCAAGGCACCTGGTACCCTATCCGGGGTTCCCTGCCCTCACCTAGCTGCCTCCCCGACCCCATCTGCTCTCAGACCCAGCCCCTGAGGACTGAAGGCTTTTAGAGAGAGACTAGCAATCTTGGTCCTCATGTGATTGTTCCCAAGGCATCTCTGCATTCATTTCCTAGCCAGTAGCTCGGCAGTCCTCTGCGAAGGGCAGGGCAGTTTTAGAGAAGGGTTCACAGAGGTGGGGCCTGCCCAGGTCCCTCAGAGAGTCAGGTAGACCTGGGACAGGGACACGGATCTCCTGTCCTCTCTGTCCCTAAGATGGGGTTCCTTCCACCTTAGCAAGAAAGAGTTTTGCCAAGGTGGGAGCTGGCAGGATGGGAAGCAGAGTCCCCAGTGCCCCTCACCTGGATGGGCTTCTCCATGTCCCCATCACACAGGGACACCAGGGGCACTGTGAATGGTTTCCACACGGGGTCCAGCGTGTACTTGATCACCTGCAGAGAAGGCGGTGAGCTCAGGCCGGGGCGACAGTGCTCTGGGGTGAGGCCAGACCAAAGGAGACAGCAGGTGACCAGAGGGAGAGCCCACAGACACTCCTCCGGAGATGGAAATAAGCAACCATGGCCGGGAGGGGATGAGGCCTCCGGGTGCCCTCATGGGTCTTCCCGCATGGTGTGACTGCACAGCCCCTTCCCGAGCTGCTGAGACCCTCGGGCCCCCACGTACCCACCTCAGTCCTGTGGACCAGCATCCACTTGCCATCGTCTCCTCGCTTGTAAAACTCCAGAAATGGGTCTGACTTCCCAAAGAGGTCCTGGAGGAAGCAGAGGATACTGGTGAGAGGGGCACAACACAACCTTACCAGGATCGGGTGGGATGGGGTGTGGTCCCACAGCCTCCCACCACCTTCCCCAGCTGGGGTCAGGGCGGGAGCCATGGCAGGGCTATCCTGGCCCCTCCCCCCAGTCTCAGAAGGTTCAGCACAAGGCCTGGGGCAGCTGCAGCCCCTGGGACCGACCGGCTCCCCCCTATTTCGAGATTGCCAGAGCTTGTGCTCAGAGACCCTCAAGTCTGGGGCCAGTGGGAATTAGAACTCCTGCATCTTAGATGGGATTTCAAGACAGTGACTGTTCCCAATGCAGGGTGAGTTCCAGCAGGATGTGACTGTGATTTATTTTAGTGGATCTGAATCTGAAAAACAGAAACTCTTCTGCACATTACAGAAGGGATGTGATATCCTTATAAATTAATTTCCTTAAGCTTAAAAAATATGTTCCCAGGCACGGTGGCTCACGCCTGTAATCTCAGCACTTTGGGTGCCAAGGCCGGGGGATTACTTGAGCCCAGGAGTTCGAGACCAGCCTGGGCAACATAGCAAGAACTTGCCTCTAAAAAAATTTTTTTAGGTCAGGCATGGTGGCTCGTACCTATAATCCCAGCACTTTGGGAGGCCGAGGTGAGAGGACTGCCTGAGCTCATGGGTTGGAGACCAGTCTGGGAAACTTGGTGAGACCTCATCTCTTAAAAAAAAAAAATAGCCAGGCTCAGTGGCTCAGCCTGTAATCCCGTGCTTTGGGAGGCTGAGGTGAGTAGATTGCCTGAGCCGATGGGTTCGTGACCCGCCTGGGCAATTTGGCGAGACCTCATCTCTACAATAAATTAAAAAAAACAACTAGCCGGACGTGGTAGCGCATGCCTGTAGTTCCAACTACTTGGAAGACTGAGACAGAAGGATTGCCAGGCCCATCAGGTCAAGGCTCAGTGGCCAGGAGCGTGCCACTGCACTCCAGTCTGGGTGACAGAGTGAGACTCCAACTCAAAAAAAAAAAAAAAAAAAAAAAAAAAAAATATATATATATATATATATATATATATAGAGAGAGAGAGAGAGAGAGAGAGAGAGAGAGAGAGAGAGAGAGGCACAACCCCTTCGGGTCCCCTCCCACTGTGGGAGCTTTTCTGTCCTCTCAATAAATCCTGTCTTCAAAAAAATTTTTTTTTTAATCAGCAGGGTGTGGTGGTGTATGCCTGTAGTCCCAGCTACTTAGGAGGCTGAGATGGGAAGATCGCTTGAGCCCAGGAGGTCAAGGCTGTGGTGAGCCATGATCATGCCACTGTACTCCAGCCTAGGCAAAAGAGTGAGATCCCAACTCAAAAATAAAAATAAAATAAATAAAATGAAATAAAAATAAGGCATCACTCCAAGAGGCTACATTCAAGTGAGGGAGACAGAAAATACATAAAGAATATATGCTAGATAGTAGCAAGCATGAAGGAAAAGGTAAAGGGGGATGTCAAAGACCACGGCAACTTCAGCGAAGGCCATGCTGAGGAGGTGACCCAGGAGTAAAGGCTTGAGGAGGTGAGGGGCATCGTGAGAGTATTCAAGGAAAAGAGCATCCAGGCAGAGGAACTAGCAAGTGCAGAGGTCCTGAGACAGGAGAGTGCCTACTTTAATCCAGGCACAATAAGGAGGCTGACTTGGTGGAAGCAGAGTTAAAGGGGGTATGGAGGAGGTGAGGTCATGGTAAGAGCACTGGTGAGGTCATGGTAAGAGCACTGGGGACACATAGGGGTCCGGAGGGTATGCAGGATCCTGGACTTTAAACTAGGTGAGATGGGGTGCCCAGAGAGTGAGCATCCAGCTGTGTTTTGAACACCTCTAAGTGGTGGGATGCTCACTACCTCAGTGGTGAGGGAGCCCTAATTTGGTGCGGCCAGCAGGGCCCAGTGTTAGGCCTTAAATACAAGTGGTGGCCAGAGGCCCGGAGTAAGCCACACCACCCTGGGACTGGGCAGGGACACTGCTTCTGACGGAAGCCCGGACTCTGCTGCCTCACCTTCTTGTCCAGCCTCCTTCCCGCCAGGCTCAGTGTGATGACCCGGTTGTCTGACAGCTCCTGGGCAGCGATCTGCAAGGCCAGAGGACCATGTCCACAAGGTCCCTAGACTCCCCCAAGCTCCTGCTAGGCAGGCGAGCTCAGGGACCCCAGGAGCCAATGCTCCAGAGCTAGGAAGGGGAGGGGGCAGTGCCAGGTGACCTTGGACAAGCCTCTTGCCTTCCCCACACCTCAGCTTCCGCCTTCTGGAAAATGGGGGTCATCACCCACACTGGGATCAGGAAATGACTGCAAGTGGCTCAAGAGAGGGCCCTTGGGAAGGTATGGGGAAGAACAGGGACCAGGCACTGGTATCCTGGCGCCCAGGGAGAAGCTCCAGCCAGGGGACAGCATGTCAGGCCTCCTCATGCCCCACTGCAGACGTAGAGGACCCAGCACAGCTCAAAACATGAAGGTGTTAGGATCACAGAAACTTCATTGTGCAGTGAGGGAAACTGAGGCCCAGGAGAGAGGTAGGAGCCAGCAGGTTCCCTTGCTGCCTCATCAGCGCACACCAGTCATCCGTCTTCCACTCACTCCCCATTAGCCATGGTCCTCTGGCCCCAGCCCAGCCAGTGATGGTCCAGCTGGGTGACCTCCAGACTGCCAGGCGCCCTCTCTGGACTCCTCCCCACAGCAGGACTAGCGGGCCGGGCCCTCCCTCGCCAGGGCTTCCCTTCCTCTCAGGCTTCTAGGATGACCTCACCTGAGGCCAGTCATCCTCCCTAGAACCACAGCCAGGACAGTCTGATCCCATTCTCTCCTCCCAACCTCCTGCTGGGAAGTGCTCAACAACCCTGTAGGAAGGTCCCATCATTGCCCCCATTTCCCTGAGGAGGGAACTGAGGCCTAGAGTGGAACTGTCAGAAATGCAGCAGGTGACAGCCAACCCAGCTCGGCGGGATCCTCTGTGCTGGCTTCTAGGAGCAGGGGAGGGGCCTTGTGGAAATGGGGCAGTTTCAAAACCAAGAGGTGGGCAGAGGCTGGGAGGGGTCATTCCAGGAGGCAGGAACAGAGTGGATAAGGGTCTGGGGTATGCTCAGGATATGCTACGAATTCAATCTGTGTAGGGCGTGGATGCACACGCCTGTAGTCCCAGCTACTCGGGAGACTGAGGTGGGAGGATCGCCTGAGCCCGGGAGGTCAAGGCTGCATTGAGCCATGATCATACCACTGCACTGGAGCCTGGGTGGCAGAGTGAGACCCCAACTCAAAATAAATGAATAGATTCAGTTTGCTTTGAACCCAGGACAAAAAACAGCAGAGGCAAGAGAGCCAAGCAGAGACTGACAGGTCCCTCACAGGCAGTGGGGAGCCATGCAAAGTTCCAGGGCAGGGGAGTGAGGAGACAGACACACACAATGGTACAATGCTCCTCCCAGCAGCGGCCAGGCCTCCAGGCAGCACATGGCTCTAAAGGAAGATGAACCACCCAGGGGAGACTCTCGCTGGCTTAACTCCCCTCTGGGAACCTCCCCTGGGATCTCAGGGGTTGCCCTGGCTCCTGGGAGTCTGTGGCCGAGTAGCTCATCCCCACGAAGGGCCTGTGTGTTGCAGGAGGAATCATTGCGCTGCAGATTCATTGCGCATGGCAGCCACAGCAGGGCTTGGATGGGCAAAGCACTTGCGAGCGACCCCCAGGGAAGCTAGCAGGGCCGGTGCAGGGAGGGGCTCTGGGGGGCCCTGGAAGCCTCCAGGGACGAGCAGGAGCTGCCGCGGGGGGGCTCCCGGCAGTCCCCCCAGCTTGGCGGGCCCCAGCGCATCATTTGTGGAGCCAGAGCCCGTTGCTAAGAGACCTGTTGCTAAGTTGTAAGTTGGGCCTTTTTACTCCAAACAAAGCTGGTGATTATCTGCCAGAGAAGCGGCCCATTGATGGGGGAGGGCGGCAGGCGGGGGTGGAGGGCAGAGGGGGAGGAGGCTGGTACCGTGATCAAGCCCTTTCCTGCAGGCTTGTCATTCATCAGCAGCAGAGGCCGGGTAATCTTCTTGCTGGAGACGATCTGGAGAAGAGAGGCCAGGCTCAGGGAGGGTGGTGGGGAGGATCTTGGAGAAAAGTCCCAAGCAGGCCCCCTGGGCATGCTGCCGCCGCCAAAACTGGCCAAACCTTCGCCTGCAGAGCCTTGCCACAGAGGCCACAACCACGGCTAGCCTGTCTGGGGCGGCTGAGAGACTGAGGTCCAGAGAGGTTAAGACACTTCTCCAAAGTCCCACAGCCTGGAGGTGATGCCAGCAGTCTGGCTCCCCCCCATTCTGGTCTGGCCCTGGGAAAAGGCATTCTGGAGACAAGGGGGGAGTTTAGTCCCTGTCCCCGTCCCCACCTTTCTCAGTGTCCAGCCCTAATGGAGGAGGTCAAACTCTGATTCGGCACATTTTCATTGCTCTGAATAGGTGATGCAATGGAAAAATGGGACACATTACAGTCGCCCCCATCATCTCTGTCCACCGCGTTCCCACCCATTTCATGGGCCACGGTGGCTTGTGGTTTCTGGGACAAATGCCAGCACTAGCGCAGCTACGAGCAGCAGTGTGATCTCTCCCGGCCCCCTGGGCTGGCTAGTCTCCCTGGGCACCCCCTGCCCTTCTCCACCTGCTGTGCCCTGTGGTCCGCACCACCTGGCTCCTTTGTCCTCTGGCTTTGGGGGAGTTAAGCCAGTGGGGGCACCAGCAGGAGGCAGGAGAGCAGGAGGGGAGACAGGCTGGACGACGTGCAGTGGCCACTTCCTCGTTGCTGCGTCCTTGACCTCAGCTCCAGGCCCTCGGCCTCCCTCCCTGGCCTCAGCTCCAGGCCCTCTGCGTCCCTCCCCGGTCTCAGCAGGCCTTGGAGATGCCACTTCCTCACCTGGCTTCTCTCCAGGCCAGGGTGGTGGCTTCCGCTGGGGCCAAGCCCTGGGTTGGTTTCCCATCCCCTATGGGTTCTCTGCCCCCATCCCCTTACCCCTTCCCACAGGAGTCCTTAACTCTCTCAACTACTCTCTGAGGGTGTAGACACACAGTGGGGACCCTGACTGCTACACCCTGCTTCTTATACAGGAGGCGGACATCACACGCCCCGTTAGCCCTTGCGTTTTTGTGACCTTCATTCCCAAGAAGGCGCAGGACACTTCAGTCTCCACCAGCACCTGGCACAGCACTTTCCACTTTATTCCCCCATCATCCCTGCAGGCTGTGCAGGGCAGCCATCATGCTCTCCAAGTGAAATATGAGGAAACTAAGGCCCAGGGCTTGCCTAAAGGAATGATGGAGACTTGTGTCAGAGCTCCGAGCCCCGCCCCTCTCAGCCTCCAGGAGCTCTCTGAGGACTGAGCCAGATGGGGAAGTGGCCCAGAGAGAGAAAGGAAGGTGCCCGAGTTCACACAGGTAGAATGCTCCTACCCCAGAAAGTCAAGCACTTCTAATAACCAGACGCCCTGGCCACATGGGGCCCATCCCTGAGTGGCAGCAATCGGAGGCACTGTGCTCAGCAGAGACTCCAGATGGGAGCTCCCCTCTGGGACCCACCCAGTCCCGTCCCCTCTGCGTGTGAGCCTGGGGAGCCAGCCAGGAACATGGGGCCAGGGAAAGACGGTGGAGGAAGCAGCCTTCCAGGGGCTGCCTGTCCTTGAGGGGCGGGTGGCGCCTGGGGGAACCCCCCCTGCTCCTCCCGCCAGAAAGGCTCACCATGCCTAGGCTACAGGAGAACTGGCCCAGGAAGTCGTGCTCGTCCAGCTGGGAGCTGGACTTGTCCTGGTCGAAGAGGGCGAACTTGAGCCTCTGCACCTCCTCGAAGTGGTAGTCCAGCACGAACTTCTTGGAGAAGGCGGGGTTGAGGTTGTTGACCGCAGTTTCCGTCCTGTCGTACTAGCAGAGGGGCAGGGAGAAGGGAGTCAGAGTCAGGGCTACCGGCTCGACCCCTCCCAGGCTGCTGGCACCCATTCTGCTAACTCACTGGACACCTGCTCTGTGCCAGGTGCTCATAGTCTGCTCCCTGCATAGCTGAGGCCAACATTTCCCCCAGCTCACAGATGAGGCCATGGAAGCACAGAGAGGTTAAGTAACTTGCCCCAGGTTGAACAGCAAGCGGGGCAGGGCCAAGATCTGTAACCCAGGTCTCACTCTAGCACCCACAACCTTAACTCTTCAACCCTGGCTCCAACCCCAGGTGACAGGGGTGAGTCCCTTTCCCCATCTGGGGTTCAGTTTCCACTTGTGTAAGAGGAAGGGATTTGACACACTGTGGTTTTCACACTTTTTATTTTGGGAAAACTCTTTTTTCTTTTTCTGAGTTGGAGTCTCACTCTGTTTCTCAGTCTGGAGTGCAGTGGCATGCTCATGGCCTCCACAGCCTCCACCTGCTGGGCTCAGGTGATCCTTCTGCCTCAGCCTTCCAAGTAGCTGGAACTACAAGCACATGCCACCATGCCCTGCTACTTATTTTGATTTATTGTATAGATGAGGTCTCACCAAGTCGCCTAGGCTGGTCTCGAACCCATGGGCTCAGGCAATCCTCTCACCTCAGCCTCCCAAAGTGCTGGGATTATAGGCATGATCTACCACGGCTGGCCTTTTCTCAAGTCACTTTTTTTTTTTTTTTTTTGAGTTGGAGTCTCACTCTGTCGCCCAGACTGGAGTGCAGTGGCCGCTCCCGGCCGCCACAGCCTCGACCTGCTGGGCTCTGGCGATCCTTCCGCCTCAGCCTTCCCAGTAGCCGGAATTACAGGCATGCACTATCACGCCTGGCTGATTTTTTGATTTATTGTAGAGATGAGGTCTCGCTGCCCAGGTGGGTCTTGAACCCATGGGCTCAGGCAATCCACTCACCTCAGCCTCCCAAAGGCGCGGGATTACAGGCTGAGCCACCGAGCCCGGCCTCAAGTCACTTTTTTTTTTTTTGAGTTGGAGTCTCACTCCATCACCAGGGCTGCAATACAGTGGCACACTCACGGCCACCCCAGCAACAACCTGCTTGGGCTCAGGTGGTCCTTCCATCTCAGCCCCCCAAGTAGCGCGATACCACATCTGGCTAATTTTTTGATTTATTGTAGAGATGAGGTCTTGCCAAGGTACCCAGGCTGGTCTCGAACCTGTGGGCTCAGGCAACACCCTCACCTTAGCTTCTCAGAGAGCTGGGATTACAGGCTTGAGCCACTGCAGTCGGCTCCAGCCACATTTTATCTGGAAGCTGAGAGAGGAAACAGAAAGAAAAGGGGGTGGGGGGTAGGGCTGGGGCGAGGGGCAGATGTTTGTGTCTGGTGTAGAATCCTGGACGGGGCAGCCCTCTTGTGCTACGGACACGGGAGCCTGGTTGAGGACGGAGCCTTGTACTGGGGTCAGTGGGGACATCGGGACAGGAAACCCACTCCTGGCCTCTTGACGTTGAGGCCCCAAACCGCGAGTCTGGGTGACAGTCTATTTTGGGGCCCAGGCTGTGTTGATTTTTCCTCCCACCCAGGCCATTTCCAAGGGCTTGAACAGCAGGGACGGAAAAGGTCTTGGCCCTGGGCTATTTTTAGCCTGGGTGGCCTGCCTGGGTGGGAGCAGAGATTGCCAGGGAGGGTGGGGGAGTGTGGTGAGTCAGGGGGTCGCCACTCCCTGAGGGACAGGCGGGGGCTCTGGAGACCTGGCAGAGGGAACTGGTGCCCCCGACACGCCCATCACTGGCCTGGGACTCTCCCAGTCATCCTCAGCTGACCCCGTGGCTCACCTCTTACTTCCAGCTGACTTGTCAGCACATCGGCTGACACAGAAGAGTCCCTACTCACTCTGGGCCCCAGCTTCCCCTCTGTAAAATGGGTCAACCATCCCAGCACCATCTCCTTAGCATCACAAGACAGAGCCAACATCCTGGAGGCTCTTTGTAAATCACAGGATGGGCGCCCACTGTGGCCCAGTTAAATGTCTATTAGAAAATAGACACGTGGCTGGGCGTGGTGGCTCACACCTATAATCCCAGCACTTTGGGATGCCAAGGTAGGAGGATCGCTACAGCTCAGGAGTTTGAGACCAGCCTGGGCAACAGAGTGAGACCTTGTCTCCACAAAAAAATTGAAAGAAATTAGCCAGGCATGGAAGTGCACCTCAGGAGGCTAAGGTGGAAGGATTGCCTGAGCCCAGGAGGCTGAGGCTGTGGAAAGCCATGATTGTGCCATTGCATTCCTGCCTGGGTGACAGATCGAGGCCTCCACTCAAAAAAAGAAAAAGAAAACAGATACACGTTTGGGAAACTATCCGTGTGTACAAAATGCCCTGGAAGGTAGGCATCAAGCTGTTCACAGCAACTCTCCTAGCAGGTGGGTCCTGACCCTCTTGATTTTCTTCTTCAGGTAGATCTGGGTTTTCTAAATGCACTACAATGAGCACAGCTGCCTTTTAGAATAGGATGCAAAGCAAGCTTTAAAACCCAAAAGTGTCAACAGTTTAGGGTCCTCCATGTCCTTCCTCAGCTGCATCTCTCCCCAGCCCTCCGGCCAATGTCTCCCAGCTCAGAAGTCCTTGGCTGGCTCCGTCACAGACTCCAGGGCTGGGGCTTCCAAGGCAGGAAGGTGGGGGAAATCCCTGTTTCATGTGAGGAGACAGGTTCAGAAAGGGACAGCCACTCGCCTAAGGCCACACAGAAGGCAGGAGCATTGCTGGCCTAGGACCAAAGGTTGAGCTCCCAGTTTCTGTTTGCTTCTCAATGACCATGTTTTTATTTAGAAATAAAGGGGAGGCTGGGTACAGTGGCTCGCGCCTGTAATCCCAGCACTTTGGGAGGTGGAGGTAAGAGGATTATCCGAGCCCAGGGGTTTGAGAGCAGCCTAGGCAACTCGACGAGACCTCCTCTCTACAATAAATGAAAAAAGTAGTCAGGCATGGTGGCGTGTGCCTGTGGTTCCAGCTACTTGGAAGGCTGAGGCAGAAGAATCACCTGAGTCCAGCAGGTCGAGTCTGCAGTGGCCGTGAGCATACCACTGCACTCCAGCCTGGGCAACAGAGTGAGACTCTGACTCAAAAAAAAGGGGGTGGGGAAGGATTGTTAAAAGGGGCAGTGAGCCTTTTGTAAAACTGTAAAATGTTAACTGTGATATAATTTAAAATGTTATAATATAAAACAATAAATATAAAAGTATAAAATCCATACTTTAAATATAAATGTATGGATTCTAATTATAATTCAAACTTGAATATAATTAAACTATATTTTAGATATATTTAAACTCAAATTCAATTTTTAGAGTAACACTTTTCTGCTGAGTCAGGAGGATTGCTTGAGGCCAGGAGTTCAAGACCGGCCTGGGCAACATAGCAAGGCCTTGTCTCTGCAAAAAAATTTTTTAATAAATTAGCCAGGTGTGGTGGCATGCCCCTGCAGTCCCAACTACTCAGTGGAAGACTCAGGTGAAAGGATCTCCTAAGCCTAGGAGGCCGAGGCTGCGGTGAGCCATGATCGTGCCACCGCACTCCAGCCTGGGTGACAGAGTGAGACCCTGACTCAAAAAAAAAATTTTCCAAGTAGTCACCTGCCTTCACGCCCACACTCCAACTACTTCCAAGGGGCTGACCTATTCCTGGATCTAGTGAGACGCCCTCCCCAGCAGCCCAGCCATGCCCTTACCCACTGCACCACTTCAGACACACAGAGGGCGTTACCTCGATCCATCGGCCATTATTCTCCGTGAAGAGGACACAGAAGGGGTCGGACTTGGAGGTGACGTCCCGGTCCAGGAGGCTCTGGCCGCTCACCGACAGCTCCACCTTGCATACGCAGTACTGGGAGCCCATGGGGCCTGCCCCCGCGGCTGGGGCACCCCCGCCTGGAATGTAGGCCATGGGGGCCTGAGGTGGCAGCAGTAGTTCCTGGCAGTCTAGGGGACAGGAGTGAGGTCAGAGAGGGGACAGACACCTGCTATGCTACCCCATGGCGCGGAGGTGTCACCGCCTGGCCATCAACATGCAGGTAGAGAGATGGAAGACCTGGCAGGACAGTAACACAGCCAAAGGCTCAGAGGAGGGAGAGTACAAGGAAGCGTCCAGAAAGGCGTCTCTGGTGGGGGCGCTGTGTCTTTGAAGTTTTTCTCTGTTTCGGGCAGTCTTTACCTGTGAGATACACACGGTTCCCTATGCGTTGCCCCTGTCAGATCGGCAACAAGTCATAGTGGACACGGGTGTCCCATTCATTGTGGCAGAACCCGAGCTTCTCCTGAGCAACTAACGTGTTAGCATCCTGTGGTCACGGGGGTGCTTACAACACTCAAGTTTCCCTCATTGCTTTGGTCCCTAGGAAGTTCACTTCTGGGAACTTATTAAAAACTTGACCTTGTTTATTGTCTGTTGTATTCATCCTGTATCTCTGGTCCAAGCACAATGACGCAAGCGCAGGAAGCATCCAGTATTTGTTGAATGAAAAAGAACGAGCTGCCGGGCTCGGTGGCTCAGCCTGTAATCCCGCGCCTTTGGGAGGCTGAGGTGAGTGGATTGCCTGACCCCGCGGGTTCGAGACCCGCCTGGGCAACGAGACTTCATCTCTACAATAAATCAAAAAATCAGCCGGGTGTGGTAGCGCGTGCCTGTAATTCCGGCTATTCAGAAGGCTGAGGGGGAAGATTGCCGGAGCCCAGCAGGATGAGGCTGCGGTAGGCGGGAGCAGCCACTGCACTCCAGTCTGGGCGACCGAGTGAGACTCCAACTCAAAAAAAAAAAAAGAAAAAGAACGAGCTGCCAGGCACAGTGGCTCACGCCTGTAATCCCAGTACTTTGGGAGGCAGAGGCGAGAGGATTACCTGAACTCAAGGGTTCGAGACCAGTCTGAGCAATGTGACGAGACCTCATCTCTACAATAAATAAAAAATATTAGTTGGGTGTGGTGGCACATGCCTGTGGAAAGCTGAGGCAGAAGGATTGCCTGAGACCAGCAGGTCAAGGCTGCGGTGGCCATGAGTGTGCCACTGTCACTCCAGCCTAGGTGACAGAGTGAGACTCTGACTCAAAAAAATAAAATAAAAATAGAAATAAAGGATAAATGAATGAATGGATCGTCCACATTGCTCAGATCCTGCCTGAGTTGGTCTTTAGTTTCAACAAAGAATTTACCCTTCACTCATACACAATTTCCCAGAATTCTAAGCCCGGAGCCTTGTATCTCCTTCTCCTGTGGAGGCTGGGTACTGACATGAGCTCACTTTAAGTTCTGTTTTCCTCTGAGTGCAAGGTGTTGAGAGTTAGGGTAGAGAACCCATCTCAGGGTGGAGGACAGCCCCAGGTCCCACTCTCACAGGCCTGCAGACAAGTCCTCCAGCTCTCTGTGCCTCAGCTTCCCATCTGCCCGTGGGGCATCACAACACGGTCCTTTGAGACTCCCGTGGTCGCATCTGATTCCACTGGCGTGAGTAAACTAAACACAGGCCTTGGCATCCAGCGGGGGGCGGAGAGTCCAGCCCCCAACCCTTACCCCACAAAGACTAGGGTCCAGCTCCCTGAATAATACTTCATGCCCTCGCTGTTGAGTGACCCTGCACATCCCCAGAGGAGGGCAGCAGGAGGGAGGAATCCCTCTGGGGACACGAATCCCCGTGCTTGTTGCATGACGTCTCTAAGTCTCATTTGGTCTTATCACTCCCGTTTTCCAGAGGAAGAAACTGAGGCGAGTTCATTCACTCTAAAAGGTACACTGAGCCCCTGCTAGGTCCCAAGAACTGTGCCAGCACTGGGGTCCTGCAGTAAGACTGTCCTACAGTCCAGCCTGGCCGGAACAAATGAGAGGGTCCAGAGAGTGGCCAGGTCCCACAGGGTGCTGCAGGCCTGCTAGGAGTCTGGGTTCTTATTTTGAGAGTGACGGGAAGTGTTGGAAGCAGAGAAGTGACATTATCTGATTCTCGTTCTTAAATGCCTACTCAGCCCCTGTGGGGAGAGGGTTGTCAGGATAAGGAGTAACAGCAGAGAGGCTGGGAGGAAGCAGTTGCTGGGTCCAGGCAGAAAGCACCATGCCACACCATGCCATAGACACTACGTGGAATCCACTCCTTCTCCCTCTGACCCAGGCACAGGCAAGCCTGACAGCCAGCTCCTGCCAGGCACATGCAGGAGGCCAGGGCAAGTGGGGCTGGCGGCAGATGCCCTTCGGCCCTCCTGGGCACGCCCGGCAGGGAGTCAATCTGGATGGTGACAAAGCCGGGCCTCAGTCCCCTCCCTCCCACCGTCTCTCCCTAGGACCTTGTTATAATCACACGAGCCCAGAGTGTCAGGACAGCACCACAATTTGCCTACAGGATTTATTCTTGTTGTGTAAAAACCAGTTTCTACTGGAGGAGCTGGCAAATGTGTTCCCTCTCACCACGTGCAGTGGGGCAGCCATGCCAAGAGTTAGGGGAGCAGGTCCTCAACCCAGGGAGGGGGCAGATAGGGCTGTCCAATGTGGACACCTTGTGGCGTGGCTGAGATGTCTGCTCATGCACATATCCACCTGGGGTTGGGTAGGACAGTTGGCTTCATCTACAGATGAGGGAACTGAGGCCCAGAGAGTGACGATCACCTGCCTGAGGTCACACGGCCAAGCGATGGCAGAGGCTGGGTGTGACCCAGGTCTTTAAATTCCTAGGCTGATGCTTGGCCTTTTCGCCAGGGTGAGGAGACGGCTGGACACTCTGGGGACCCAGAATCTCGATGGGGACAGCAGGAAATCAACCAGGCCAGGGGAGCCTGAGGCTAACAGGGCAGGGCTGTGAGGGCTGCAGAGCTGGGGAGGCCAAGGACACAGCCCCAATTCAACACGTACCCAGCATGAGCCCCAAAGTACCCAAGGTCACCAGCTCCTCTGGGGACATCCATGCACATCTCTACATCTCCCACTATCACTGCTGGGGTGGATTCCAGATCACCCAACCCTCTCTACCTCACAGGCCCCCCTCCATGACATGTTAGATGCCACCTGGGCCACCACCCTCCACTGCCAAGTCAGACACCTTTTTTTTTTTGAGTTGAAGTCTCACTCTGTCTCCCAGGCTGGAATGCAGTGGCACGTTCACGGCCACCACAGCCTTGACCTGCTGGACTCAGGTGATCCTTCCAGCTCAGTCTTCCAAGTAGCTGGAACTATAGGCACGCACCATCACGCCCGACTAATATTTTGATTTATTGTAGAGATGAGGTCATGCCAAGTTGCCTAGGTTGGTCTCAGACCTGTGGGCTTAGGCAATCCTCTTTCCTCGGCCTCCTAAAGTGCTGGGATTATAGGTGTGAGTCACCACACCTGGCCCTTGTTGTTGTTGTTGTTGTTGTTGAGTCAGGGTCTTACTCTGTTGCCCCGGCTTGAGTGCAGTGGCACAATCATGGCTCACAGTATCCTTGACCGCCTGGGCTCAGGCAATACTTCCACTTCAGCCTCCCAAGTAAGTGGGACTACAAGCATGTGTCACCACACTTGGCTAATTTTTTATTTTTTGTAGAGACATGGTCTTGCTATGTTACCCAGGTTGGTCTCAAACTCCTGGGCTTAAGTGAGCCTACCGACTTGTCCTCCCAAAGTGCTGAGATTACAGGTGTGAGCCACCAGGCCTGGCCCTGAATCAGACTCTGTTCTTGTCCTGAGAGGTGTCAAATACACACACCCAAATTCACACCCAGATTCCCTTGTCCATATGCACACGTGTATAGTCACATGTACACGCTTATACACACACCCAGCCTGACAAACACAAAGACAGGTGCTCATGTGAACACCCTGGGGCCTCTTCTTTCTGTCTCTGTCCCTACCCCCCTCACCCATCCAAGCTCCCGTGGTCTACCTTCCAGGAGCCTCTACCCCTCACTCCCTCCAGCCAGGCTGAGGGCATGGCCAGGAGGGCCAGGTCACTGGGGATGGTGGGGCCAGGTTCGCCCCTAACCCCACCCCCAGGCATCAGCAACCCCACCGAGATCAGCTCAGGCCCCATTGGGAGTGAGTGACGGGTGGGTGGGAAGGGTCCTCCTTTCCCAGCCAGGAGCAGGAGCCCATCCTCAACTCACCCTCTGGCTGGAAGCTTCTGGATCCCCGAAATGGAGAGCACATGGTGTCTGGTGTTGGGGTAGGCGAGGGTCAGAGCAGGCCCCCTGTGCCAGCCCGGCAGCGGGCAGGCAGCTGGACCCTGAGGCCTGACGCAATGGAAAAAGAAACCACAGCCTTGGCTGGGCCAGGCCCCCTCCCCTCCCACCCAGCAGGAGGGCAGGCAGGCAAGGTGTCATTAGGGAGGGCTGGGCCTGCCATGTGCATCTGAGCAGATGGAAATGTTCCCTGGGGCAGCCCCCGCCCCACAGGTAATTTTCAGTTTCGGGCTGGAGGGTGGGGTACAGGGAGCCAGGACTGGAGGGAGGGTCCTGACTCCTGGCACAGATGGGCACAGGCCTCCTGGGGTGATCAGACCCAGGGGAGGAGCTTGAATGGTAGGGACACACAACCAGTAGTCCCTTTTACAGATAGGTTAACTGAGGCAGAGAGAGGGCAACATTTGGAATTCTAGGTTTCATTCATTCACTCATTCAACAGACATTCCTTGGGCACCCTGGGTACATAATGAGTAGACCACAAGGGTTCAGCTCCCACTGAACCTAACCACTAGGCACACTGTCCTCGGGCAGGGCAGGATCGGGAGCCTCTGGTGCTAATCCACACATCTGGAACAATGTGATTTTAGCTAGAAACTGAGGAACTCAGCGTTCTCACTCCCTCCCCATCCCCACTTCCCCTCATTCCCCATGTGACTGGTGCTGCCAGTTTTACCTCTGAGCTGCATCCAGCATCCATCCTGTCTCCCCTGTCCCTGCCTCGCAGCCTGGGTGATGGGGACCCAGTGCCTTCCCCTTCCAGGTCACACGAGACCCAGACCCTCCCCACCCTCCCCCCACCCACAGGGCCCCGCCTGACCTCAGCCCACCTCAGCACCTTCCCCCTCATTCCTCCTGCCCAGCTACACTGGCCTCCCTCTGCCCTGCAACTATGCCAA